GGGGCTTAGGACTAAACCGGCAACTATTTTTGTTGACCTTTGTCCATGGAAGGTCCCTGCAAAATTTCATTGAAATTGGTTCAGGGGTTTTGGAGAAGAAGGTGAAAATGTAAATTCAGTTTACGGACGCACGACGGACGACGGACGACGACGGACAAAAGGCGATCGCAATAGGTCACTTGAGACTTTGTCTCAGGTGACCTAAAAACATAATATGTATTGATACATACACAGCATAGAATTCCTCAATAGGGGTCATGACCTCCATTGGGATATTGAGGGGTAATAAGCAGGTATGTGTATTATTTACAAGATATACACAACTTGCTTAATTTACCTCCCCTTCATTGATTGTTTATAAACTGGTATACCTTGAATCTGCAGTGATTTCTAGGACCCGTTCCTCCAGAAATAGACAGAAGGTCCAAGCCTTACTCGTCCTGCCAAGGGTGTATGTGATCTTGTAGCATGAGCTTAGTTCATATGATGTACTGGGTTGCCCTGAGAAAGCATTCTGCTCCTTCTCAAAGATTTCCAGGTAGGGTCGACCATTTCTCACAATAAACATGTACCAACGACTTGATTCAAAAAGCTGAAAAATAAATTTTAAGAAATAGTAAGAATATTAGGCATGACTAGAAGTACTCCTAACTCTAAGGAACTGTGTCATCATTATAAAAATTATGAATCTGTGTGCTTGTCAAGTCTGAACGTTTTCACATCCATCTCTCCAACATTATTCAATTAATACTATAAACAATTATTTATATTACTGCCACATTTCTTTAGTTTTTTACAATGTGTGAATTGACTTAATTTTTTTTTACACAAAAGTACGTTTTCATGGTCATTATTATAGATTCAAAGAATATATCGATTCAAGAACTAATGTCAACATAGAAATTTCCACATCACGATTAGTTTAAAACCCATTCACCCCTAAAGTCACATTTAAACCTTACCAAATCATAGAATGGGCAAGTCCAGTTTAAATATGTAGGGGTGAATGAGTTAAGAGTCCCAAGGCAAACATTTCAACGTAAGAGAATTTCCATTTTTACAGCATTACAAATAGTAAGTTCTCACTCAATACTTGTATTGGATAATTATGCTATAGCTATTTGACCTTGATATCAAAATCCCATAAAAATATAACTTGCAGAAATATCAGTGTAAATTGGTTAAATACTCTATTCTTAACCACATTAAATTGTAACCAGACTAAAATGTCGCGACCTGGATGTGGTATCATAGAATCCTAGGGAGGCACCAGGAACAGAAGAGTAGTTAAAATGGGTAGACAAAATATTAGGATAGATAGGATAGAGAGCAAAGATAAGGATAGAGAAAAAATTTAAGAAAGATAAGAAAGATTAGGATAGAGAGGAAAGATAAGGATAGAGAGAAAAAGGATTAGACAGATACAAAGTGTTGCAATATATGGGACAGCAGGTTAATTTTGGTCTCTTCAACGTCTCCTGAACGGTCACAGCTAAAATAAAACTTCAGAGCCTCTGCAAGATATTATTACTTTTTTTAATCATACCTGGGTATAACGAAAGTTTCCCCCTCACCACTTAGGGTGTGTCAATATTATGAAGTCACAATAATGCATTTTTAATGAAGTCATCCTCATCATTAAGTCATCATGTGTTCCCGGTTGTAGCTAATATTTGGCCCCTTGCCAAGTCACTTCACCTCACCTATCCTCTTCATGCCGGTCGGCATTTAAGGACCGGATACATTCTTTCCATTTGACACGGTTTTTAGCTGCTGTCCTTGCTGTAGTCCATGTCCGTACCACTGTACACAAACTGTTGGTTTCCATTCTTAGTACATGTCCAATCCATCTCCAACGACGTTCCATAATATCATCACTAAGTTTCTTTGTTCCAGCTCTGATGTGAAGGTTTTCATTTGATATGGTGTTGCGCCATCTTATTTTCAGAATTTGTCTCAGACATCTAGTTTGGAAGGTGTTCAATTTCTATTTGTCTTCTTCTGTTGTTTTCCAGGTTTCACATCAATACAGTAGAACTGATATAACCAGGCTGTTGAATAGCCTGACCTTTGTTTTGAATGACAGTAATGATGATCTCCATGTTTTTCTTAACCTGCTGAATTGGCCTTTCGCTTTCTTGAAGCTGTTGTCTATATCATTGTCACAGCCACCTTTTGTTGTTACTATTCCTCCAAGGTAAGTGAATGTATCAACATCCTCTAGGTCTTTCTCATTCAACTCATTCGCATTACTTTTTTCTTGGACGTATTAATATCTTTAATCCTATCTTGCTGGCATTCTCTTGAAGTTTATTTGTTTTCAGCTGTATATGTTGGAATTTGGAAGATAGTAGTGCAAGGTCATCTGCCAAATCGAGGTCTCCTAATTTGGTGGTAAATTTCCCTTTTACTCCTGTTTCATTTTCTTTTTTTGTTTGCTTCATGACATGGTCAATGGCTAACAAAAATAAGAAGCCGGACATCACACATCTTTGCTTTACTCCTGTTTTCACTTTGAACCATTCAGATTGCATCCCTTCGTCTATGACTGCACATTCAAATATATCTTAAAATAGTTTTATTACTGTGATGAGTTTGTCTGGGATGTGGTATGCTTTCATGATGGACCATAAGCTTTCCCTATGGATGGAATCAAACGCCTTTTCAAAGTCAACAAAATTGATATATAAAGGATCATTCCATTCAGAACATTGTTCAATGATGTTTCGTAAAGTGAAAGAGTTGTTCAGTAGTGCTTTTTCCCCTTCTGAAGCCAGCTTGTTCTTGTCTTAGCTCTTCAGCTATTCCTTCCTGAATTCTTTGTATGATGATTTTGGAGAATACCTTACTAGGCACAGACAGTAGAGTCATGCCTCTGTAGTTTTCACATACTGTTCTATCTCCTTTCTTTATCATTTTAACAATAAGACCTTTACTCCACACCTTTGGTATTACTTCTTCACTTCATATCATATTGAAAAGCTTTAGCAAATATTTAGTAGTTGTTATTGTATCTGCTTTTAGGATCTCAGCTGTTATACCATCTACACCTCCTGATTTCCCATTTTTAATCTTTTCAATGCTTTTGTAATTTCCTCTTTCCTGATTGGACCAGTATCTACCTCTCTTTCCTCAATTTCATAGTTCAGATTGATTTCAAGTGGTATTTCGGGTTCAGGTCTGTTTAAACTTCTTCGAAGTCTTCTTTTCATCTTTCCAGTTTCTCATCATGGCTGGATAATGGATTTCCAGTCTTGTCTTTGATGACTTGAGGTGGTTTTCGTTTTACATTGCAAATTGTTCTTGTTACTTTATACACTGTTTTCATCATTCCATTGCTTGCTGCTTTTTCTGCTTCTTCAATTAAGTTGTCTGTCCATTGCCTTTTGTCTTTTGTCATACTTTTCTTAACCTCCTTGTCTTTATCAGTATAATTGGCATTTAAACTGTTCTTTACTCGTTCTGATCTACTGTTATTAGTTTTTTCTTTCAGTTCTCTTCTCTCGTCTACAAGTTTCCACGACTCATTTGAGATCCAAGCTTTATGTCCCTCTCTTTGAATCCTCTAGTATTAGATGCTGTTTCTTTATAGCATTTCGTTACTCCTTCCCAAAATGTTTCTTTGTCCTTTAGTTTGTCTAAGAGTTGGAACTTGTTCTTCAGTTCAATTGAAAACGCTTTCCTAATTTCTGGACATTGCAATTTGGTGGTATCAAATCTCTTCCCTGTAGTATCTATTACAACTTTGTGTTTCTTGTGTTCTTGCCAAGTAGGACTTACATATTTTCCCAATATATATGAGGAGCTAGAAAATGAATTGTGATCACAGCAGATCGGAAAACCATCTGTTCGTCTTAAACTGACATATGTAGATGCAAAACAGCTTTGTTATTCACTACCTTTTTCCAATCCGATCAAAATCAAACTCTCAAGATCACTTTGTTACCACGCTGAGAGAGGCATAGGTAACGAAGCGGTCTTGAGAGGTCTGATTTTAATTAGATTGTTACTATTTCCTAACATGCATGCATGCACTGTATGACAAAATTATTGTGATTAATTACCTTTGGTGGCCCTAGCTACCTGACAGACCCTAGGGTTACCCTAGTGCAAGGATTAACTGAAGCATCTGACATACTGAAGGCCCCTTTCTAAGCAGTTACCTAAAGATGTTTTAGACTGAAGGGTTACTCATCTGAGGGACAAAGTTAAATGAAATGTACCTGTATCACAAGGTTGCATGAGGGCCAGGGAGGGAATTGTATAGATGGAAGGGTTACCTGTCAGTGAACAGTTGCTTGAAGGCTGAAGTAGCTTGAAGGCTGAAGTAACTTAAGGTGAGGGTTATCTGATTAGGCTGGGGTTACCTGAGGTTTTGAGTTGCGTGAAGGCTGCAGTTACCTGAAGGTTGAATTATTGTCTTATTAGGCTGGGGTAACCTGAAGTTTTGAGTTACTTGAAGGCTGAAGTAACCTGACAGTTGGGGTTGACAGATTAGGCTGGGGTTACCTGAAGTTTTGGGTTGTCTGATTAGGCTGTGATTAGCAGAAGTTTTGAGTTGCTTAATAAAGGCTGTAGTTACCTGAAGGTTTGGGTTGTCTGATTAGGCTGGGGTAAACCTGAGGTTTTGAGTTGCTTGAAGGCTGTAGTTACCTGAAGGTTGGATTGTCTGATTAGGCTGCGGTTACAAGAAGTTTTGAGTTGCTTGAAGGCTGTAGTTACCTGAAGGTCGGATTGTCTGATTAGGCTGGGGTTACCTGAGGTTTTGAGTTACATGAAGGCTGTAGTTACCTGAAGGTTGGATTGTCTGATTAGGCTGGAGTTACTTGAGGTTTTGAGTTGCTTGAAGGCTGTAGTTACCTGCAGGTTGGGATTGACAGATTAGGCTGGGGTTACCTTAAGTTTTGAGTTGCTTGAAGGCTTTAGTTACCTGAAGGTTGAGGTTGACAGATTAGGCTGGGGTTACCTGAAGTTTTGGGATGTCTGATTAGGCTGTGATTAGCTGAAGTTTTGAGTTGCGTAAAGGAAGCGGTTACCTGATGGTTGGGGTTGTCTTATTAGGCTGGGGTTACCTGAAGGGTCTTTTAAATTAAGGGTTACCTGAAGGAGACTTGAGCAAAGGCTGGAGCGTGGACTATCTGCTGCTATGGGCTTGGCCTTTTTCAGGTAGCCCTGCTTGACAATATTCTCCATGGCCAGTCTGAGAGCTGGGTCCTCCACACAGGACTCATGTAATGCATAAGGCACTGGTCACATCATCTACAAAATACGAGGTAAAGATTTTATGATTATTTCTGCAATCAATGTGGCTACCTGTGTGATTGATCTTTTGGTTTATTGTTTTGAATGATCCAGTACAAGGTCATGTATATATATCAATTAAACCTGGAGAAAGTTCAGTATCTGTCGAACAAAATACTACAGAATTTTGCAATCATGGTGGTCCAGAGATCTCGCATGACAGCTAAATATATTTTTATATAGAAATTTGTTTTACCAAGCGAAGTCACATGCATACATTTTGACATATTGTTTTTAGACTTCAATGTATGTAAAGATCAGGCCTGGTGCAGCAAATACAGATAAGTTCAGTGGACTTGAAATTCTACCTGACAGAAATTTCTGACAGCTTCAGGTATATACTGCACTACATAGGTATTAGTTATATCTTATCTCATGGTAAACATCAAGTTGTTTTTTACTTCCTGATTTTTACTGGACTGACATTTCATTTATATCTCCTACTCACTGTGAAGTCCTGATTAAATATTGATACGAGAGACTATTACAATTCATATAACATGCACATATGGCCCGGCCAGTCTCACTTACTTATAAACGCTTTGTGAGTTGGTATGAGTATTATGAACAATATAATACTACAGTTATAATACTAAGGATCACGATGTCAATCAATGTAAATATCAAGTTTGTGTAACTTGTGTACAGGTACAGATATATTCTATAAATAGTTTATATATAGTATATACGTGACAAGCATGAAACTAGAGAGTAATAGGTACACACACAGAAATATCAGCCAAAGCATGCAAGCCAGACTTTTATAGTTTTAAAACATGAAAGGACCTGTGATAAAAAGTAGGATAAAGTATGTGCATTCTGCTTACACCAGACTCAAAGCAGATAGCTAGGGTCCTATTACAATGTGTTTAGTCCAGGTGAGAAGAATATCAGGCCAGTCCTAGTTTTTCACATGTACACTTGCCACTTCATACAGTAATATTTATTTAGACCTACTGTCAGCACACTGTCCAAGCCTTCCTACTTTCATGGGAAACTCCTGGTTTGTAATCTTTATTTTGGCTTTAATTTTGAAATTAGGGGAATTCCCTAACTCCTGCCTTTTTGCACAAATTCAATAAGTTAGTTTCCTAGAACAATTAACTTAACAGCAAATAAGCCCCCCCCCCCCCCCCCCCCCCCC